ACGATTACAACTGACACGGTGGTACCCTTAACCTTAACGATTACAACTGACACGGTGGTACCCTTAACCTTAACGATTACAGCTAACACGGTGGTACCGTTAACCTTAACGATTACAACTAACACGGTGGTACCCTCAACCTTAACGATTACAACTAACACGGTGGTACCCTTAACAACCTTACGTTGATAATAATAGTTATTCAGGTAAAGGCAAACACAATTAAAACAGCTGATATATACAACATACAGGCCGTTTGAAAACTTGATTTCAGTTCCGTATCGATAATAAGCCATTGCATGGGATTGCCCATTAAAGCCATGGGGGGCTAAATTATAATGAAGTCCCTTATAGGTGTATAGGTGTTAAGATGAAAAGACATGTACAGGCTCTGACCTTGCAGTAATGTTGAAAAAATACTAAGAATTCATCTAGGCAATATTGCAGCCATAATTAAAAATACACAAATTCATTTTCGAATAATTCTTCTTTCAACACTTCCAAATAGTGATGTCTAACCTTATTGATGTGGTTTACAACATTTGATTGCTGTATGCCAACAGGAGGATTATTCCAGTCTTTTGATGCTCTATAGAAGATAGTTGATTAGTCTTGTCCTACCAAGCTTTTGGTTATTAAGCTTATTAAACCCGATCTTATAAAATAAGATTCTCTCCAAGTTGACACAAGGTATGGCTTAAAGTTACATGCAAGTTGATAAAGAGTTATTACCTCAATCTATGATATGTCTTAAAATTGACATTCAGATGTGGCTTCAAGTTACGTCAACATTAAAATATACATACATGTAACTTCAAAATAAGTTGTTAGATATACTGTTTTAATAAGTTAACACTAAGATATAACTTAAAGCATAGAGATATATCCTACAAGGTAAATATGTCTCCCCACGAACCGGCCATTACGTTAACGATTGCCACAGAAAGCGTGGCTCATTCATCAGCTCAGCTAGTGCCTTATTGAACGGACTATAAAACGTGTCCAGTAGTTCTCCTGTTTTGTTCACTATTTGTCCGACATGTTGAGTTTTCTTTTTTCTCGTGTTAGCACGTCCACTTTTAATTCCATATTCATCTGAGAGATCACCTGTAAAAGAAACTACTGAGCATTACGTCCGTCCGTTACATTAACAGGAATGGCATCAATCACGTGACCACACAAGAGATGGTATTATACCTTATTGCAATAGGGAGATTATAAAACTTATGTGTCTATTGCATGTTGTGTAATACTAATCCATCAATAGGATTATACTTCAAATTTAGACAGACGTGGATCCATCATCAGCACAACAACAAACTCGACCGTATCTTTTACAGAATCACGTGATGTAAACATCAACAGTGCTTGACCTCACCTCGATCTCTTCAAGGAAACTTCATTTTTCACAAAACATGTAATAGTATATTGAAACATAATGATTATTTTTCATCAGGGCTGTTTTGAGATTCATCGCGTCATATGCCTTGAACATTGCACGCTGGCATTTGTTTTAGTAATAATAAAATGCATAAATATCAAATCAGGATTGAGATTCGAATCAACTCTGATCATATCATTTGTTATCTACACTTCAAAATGGCGATGAGCTCAGTAATAGCTTCATTTTGTTTTTCAAAACCCTCGTGATGCATCACAGCAACGTTCGAACCAGTGCTAGCTTTAGATCTCCCGTTTAATGATCAGTACGTGTACAAAGTTTCTAACATTTTGTATTTTTGTTTTTCAATTTTTAAGCAATTTCTTATATGCTGGTTCACAATTACATAACAATTAAAACACTTGTAACCACATGTATCAAACCTCTGCCGTTTATTATTGTTAGAATTATTTCCTGTTTTACTTGTAAGAACTATTTCCTGTTTTATTTGTTAAACTATTTCCTGTTTTACTTAAAAGAACTATATCCTCTTTTACTTGTGACCTTTGTGACCTCTGATGTAATTACCATACTGATTATCTTTTCGTCACGGTGACGTGCTACCTTTTCAAACTGGATAAATGATATCCCTTTAATTAATAACAACACTATCTTAAGGTATACTTGCAGTGATTTTGAAGATTTCGTAACGTCATTAAACCAAACTAAATTGGTGATATCCATTTATTGAACTTGCGATATTAATACAATAATTTGTATAGAATAAACTAACGATATGGGAGAGGAACGAAGCATGACTTAGACAGGAGAACATTCGGAAATCGTCGGGCCTAAAAACATTCCGAATGACACGTTTGATATTCAAATGCCATGTGCGAACGATTTTCACTTTGAGATATGGATTTTTGTTGATGATTTTTTCCCAATTCACGACAATTGTTTTTATATCAAAATTAAGTATACGAGTACTTGTTTTGGCTTATAATCTTAATTTTCAACAAAATTACAAAAATAGTAAGATATTGAATGGAGTACAGCTTACATAACCAAAATGAAGTCTTTACTACATGTACTTCGTCATTGTCAATAGTAAATCATCATATAGTCATTTACAATGTGGATACAGTATGGTCACTTATATAGTCTGTTCCGATAGATTGTTTTATCCTTACCCGCACGCTTATCCTCCCGGAATACCTGGTCTTTTTCTCATTGTACTTTTCAAGGCTCTCCATGTAAACCTTTGATTTGTTCATATTTTGCTCTAGTTTTACCAATGTTGTGTTAGAATTACGGCTATGTTGTCACTTCGGTATTCTCTTGTTTTTTTTCACAGCTGCGCATTAGTTACGTATAGATCTTGAGTTTCTATGTGTAACGTATGTATTTAGGTGCAATTAGCAAAATAATCAATACCGCGTAAGTACTTACGTAATTTTAGAAATTTATAAACTGTCGACATAGCCCTTTGTGAGTGCGCTGAATAATCTTCTAACTGGAGAACAAGAATTTGATCTCGAGGGAAAATGTTGATCCATTCCTTCAGATACAAAGCGTATAAACCTACATGTAGTCGGACCTCATGGTCAGTCGGCTGTTGTAAAAAAGAAAGATATAAAACAATCATGATAATGAATCAAAATTACTTTTAATGAGAAAAAAACAATAGCTTCTAATAGACTAGTCACCCCTTCTTAAATTGGACCCCTCATATGTACACTAGTACAAACAAAAATCTAGGGACAGTGCGCAATATTGAAAAACCTAATCATGTATTCACAATGTGAAATGATGTGTTAACTTTACCATGTAGTAACAGTGCCGAATGTTGTGTTAACTTTACCTTGTAGTCGTAGTGCCGAAAGTTGTGTTAACTTTACCCTGTAGTCATAGTGCCGAAAGTTGTGTTAACTTTACCCTGTAGTCATAGTACCGGATGTTGTTTAAACTTTACCCTGCAGGCACAGTGCCGAATGTTGTGGTAACTTTACTTTGCAGCCACATTGCCGAATGTTCTTTAAACGTTACAGTGTAGACACAGTGCCGAATGTTGTTTAAACTTTACCCTGTAGTCGTAGTGCCGAATGTTGTGTTAACTTTACCTTGTAGTCGTAGTGCCGAATGTTGTGTTAACTTTACCCTGTAGTCATAGTGCCGAATGTTGTGTTAACTTTACCCTGTAGTCACAGTACCGGATGTTGTGTTAACTTTACCCTGTAGTCGTAGTGCCGAATGTTGTGTTAACTTTACCTTGTAGTCGTAGTGCCGAAAGTTGTGTTAACTTTACCCTGTAGTCATAGTACCGGATGTTGTTTAAACTTTACCCTGTAGGCACAGTGCCGAATGTTGTGTTAACTTTACCCTGTAGTCGTAGTGCCGAATGTTGTGTTAACTTTACCCTGTAGGCACAGTGCCGAATGTTGTGGTAACTTTACTTTGCAGCCACATTGCCGAATGTTCTTTAAACGTTACAGTGTAGACAGTGCCGAATGGTGTATAAACTTTACCCTTTAGGCACAGTGCCGAATGTTGTTTAATCTTTACCCTGTAGGCACAGTGCCGGATGTTGTGTTAACTTTAGCCTGTAGGCACAGTGCCGAATGTTGTGTTAACTTTATCCTGTAGTCACAGTGCCGGATGTTGTTTAAACTTTACCCTGTAGGCACAGTGCCGAATGTTGTGTTAACTTTATCCTGTAGTCACAGTGCCGGATGTTGTTTAAACTTTACCCTGTAGGCAAAGTACCGGATGTTGTTTAAACTTTACCCTGTAGGCACAGTGCCGAATGTTGTGGTAACTTTATCCTGTAGTCACAGTGCCGGATGTTGTTTAAACTTTACCCTGTAGGCACAGTACCGGATGTTGTTTAAACTTTACCCTGTAGGCACAGTGCCGAATGTTGTGGTAACTTTACTTTGTAGCCACATTGCCGAATGTTCTTTAAACGTTACAGTGTAGGCACAGTGCCGAATGCTGTTTAAACGTTACCGTGTAGGCCGCGTGCCGGATGTTGTTTGTGCCGAATGTTGTGGTAACTTTACTTTGCAGCCACATTGCCGAATGTTGTTTAAACGTTACCGTGTAGACACAGTGCCGGATGTTGTTTAAATGTAACCTTTTAGGCACAGTGCCGGATGTTGTTTAAACGTTACCGTGTAGGCACAGTGCCGAATGTTGTTTAAACGTTACAGTGTAGGCACAGTGCCGAATGTTGTTTAAACGTTACCGTGTAGGCACAGAGCCGAATGTTGTTTAAACGGTATCGTGTAGGCACATTGCCGAATGTTGTATTAACTTTACCCTGTAGTCACAGTGCCGGATGTTGTTTAAACGTTACCGCGTAGGCACAGTGCCGAAGGCTATGCTCTGTCAGACACTTGTTGAATTTCGTCACTTCGTTTGTTGCTCTTCTGTGGAAATCTTCAGCAGATACATGCGTATGTTTTTTGAAGAATAGATATCCCGAGTACAACCTACATGAAAAGATAAAGATACACATAATGATTTACTACAGCATGGAGAAAAAGCATGGCCATAGGGTACAGTACATATTACGGCTTTTGGCATTTACTTACAAACACAAATAGGTGTCTCCTTTCTTAAATTTCTTAGTGAGACTATTACGTTAAAATGTTTATGAGTCTCTTAGTGGACTATCAGTCTTCGTGGTTGGCGCTTAACTTGTTACTCGAATGTATGCTGGTACAATTTACAGGAAATACATGTTTAAATTATATTGTCTGTAGTAGCCAATATTGGTTGGCCATGCATCCTCGATATCCAGAGGTTATGCTCACTTTCGCTCTCTGCACCCCTGGAATCTGTCATAGCAAAATTGAAGGCAAGAAGATATCAGTTTGATTGGTCTCGGGTAAAAGATTACAAAGGAGAGACGCCCGACTTCAAAGCCTGTCAATTGGTACCGTTACGTGACCGCGAGATACTTTTGATGTACATTAAAGGATCAAATTAGTCTCTTCGTCTTACCTTCAAGGTGCTGCACACTAAGCCTTCGATTTTGCTATGACATAATCCAAGGGTGTCGAGTGCGAAAGTGAGTGTAGTCCCTAGATATCGAGGATGGATGCCATGTCGCAGTAGATAGCACACTTACCTTTCACCAAGGCGGCCAGGGCTCAATTCCCCGATCGGACGTGAAAAGGTTTGGTGCAAAGAGCGAACATTAAGCCTAACCTCTGGAGTATTTCAATGCAATACAAGTAACAAGAATTTTCGAAATGCATAAAACATGTTTAAGGTATCGTTATTGCATTTTATATTCTATTAAACTGGTTTTAAGCATTAAAATCCCTTAACACTTGTAATTACAATGTATATATTTTTCACAAATACAATGAGAAAATATTAATTAAGATAATACAAGTGTATGTTATTGTATGTCATTGGGTCAAGTCAACCCCTGCGCTGCGGGGAAACGACTTTTGTCACGTAAAATAAATAAAATAAATAAATATACAACATTTGATATAGCGCCCTATCTAGCTAACATAAGCCACTCTAAAGCGCTTTACAGTACATAGATATTCAATTTTATACAGTCAATACAATTAGCAGATATATGAATCAATACAATATTGATGAATTCGCAGGAGCTGCCTTATCAGGCGCTAATATCTCCCTATGTGTGTATGCCTGTGTGTGTGCTGGAGATGTATTGTGTTCTGTTTGTAGCAAACATAGCATCATTCTGAACATCAAAGAGGTGGTTGCACTGAGATTTACCGTTCGGAGATTGGCTACAGTCTGCGTTTCCCTCTCCCTATCTTTACACATGACCAGAATTGCATTTTCTTTCATGTGATAGCCCCGTATCACGCGCGCGTATTATTTTGATGGGTAAGGGGAGGTAGCTCCTACAATCGTCTGCTCCCTACTGGACGACAGTAGTTAGTCCGCAGGATAAAAGCGTCATGTTTATTGTTCTCATTCCTCAGTAGGTAACTTGAACATCATTTATATTCTAATTCGCTTCCCTCAAACGAACATAAATTATTTATCATATAAAACTCCAACTCTTTACCGGGAGTTCGTCCGCCTAGCAACGAGGACGTACATATTTATTCAGGTAAAATTACATGGAAATCGGAAAATGGATCCGTAATCCCAGTGCTGTGCGGGAATTGCTGGCCACTTCGTCTTGTCCTTCATGCTCCAAAATAGCTGTACACAAATCAGGTTGTTTCATTCCCCATGTGAAAGGATTGCTGGAAATATAATGTAACAGCCACCCAAAAACTGAACAAGTACTAACAAGAATGGGCGGGTGGGCGGGAAGTCCGGACTGATCAACAGCTAGGCGAACACAGACACCTGTACGTGTCGCTACTGTCCCAAGCATACCTGTCCCACGTGCACTAGTAGCTGCACGTGCGAGACAAGACACGGACATCCCGTCCACTCGTTTACATAACAATGATAAATATATTTATATTCTAATTCGCTTCCCTCAAACGAACATAAATTATTTATCATATAAAACTCCAACTCTTTACCGGGAGTTCGTCCGCCTAGCAACGAGGACGTACATATTTATTCAGGTAAAATTACATGGAAATCGGAAAATGGATCCGTAATCCCAGTGCTGTGCGGGAATTGCTGGCCACTTCGTCTTGTCCTTCATGCTCCAAAATAGCTGTACACAAATCAGGTTGTTTCATTCCCCATGTGAAAGGATTGCTGGAAATATAATGTAACAGCCACCCAAAAACTGAACAAGTACTAACAAGAATGGGCGGGTGGGCGGGAAGTCCGGACTGATCAACAGCTAGGCGAACACAGACACCTGTACGTGTCGCTACTGTCCCAAGCATACCTGTCTCACGTGCACTAGTAGCTGCACGTGCGAGACAAGACACGGACATCCCGTCCACTCGTTTACATAACAATGATAAATATATTTATATTCTAATTCGCTTCCCTCAAACGAACATAAATTATTTATCATATAAAACTCCAACTCTTTACCGGGAGTTCGTCCGCCTAGCAACGAGGACGTACATATTTATTCAGGTAAAATTACATGGAAATCGGAAAATGGATCCGTAATCCCAGTGCTGTGCGGGAATTGCTGGCCACTTCGTCTTGTCCTTCATGCTCCAAAATAGCTGTACACAAATCAGGTTGTTTCATTCCCCATGTGAAAGGATTGCTGGAAATATAATGTAACAGCCACCCAAAAACTGAACAAGTACTAACAAGAATGGGCGGGTGGGCGGGAAGTCCGGACTGATCAACAGCTAGGCGAACACAGACACCTGTACGTGTCGCTACTGTCCCAAGCATACCTGTCTCACGTGCACTAGTAGCTGCACGTGCGAGACAAGACACGGACATCCCGTCCACTCGTTTACATAACAATGATAAATATATTTATATTCTAATTCGCTTCCCTCAAACGAACATAAATTATTTATCATATAAAACTCCAACTCTTTACCGGGAGTTCGTCCGCCTAGCAACGAGGACGTACATATTTATTCAGGTAAAATTACATGGAAATCGGAAAATGGATCCGTAATCCCAGTGCTGTGCGGGAATTGCTGGCCACTTCGTCTTGTCCTTCATGCTCCAAAATAGCTGTACACAAATCAGGTTGTTTCATTCCCCATGTGAAAGGATTGCTGGAAATATAATGTAACAGCCACCCAAAAACTGAACAAGTACTAACAAGAATGGGCGGGTGGGCGGGAAGTCCGGACTGATCAACAGCTAGGCGAACACAGACACCTGTACGTGTCGCTACTGTCCCAAGCATACCTGTCTCACGTGCACTAGTAGCTGCACGTGCGAGACAAGACACGGACATCCCGTCCACTCGTTTACATAACAATGATAAATATATTTATATTCTAATTCGCTTCCCTCAAACGAACATAAATTATTTATCATATAAAACTCCAACTCTTTACCGGGAGTTCGTCCGCCTAGCAACGAGGACGTACATATTTATTCAGGTAAAATTACATGGAAATCGGAAAATGGATCCGTAATCCCAGTGCTGTGCGGGAATTGCTGGCCACTTCGTCTTGTCCTTCATGCTCCAAAATAGCTGTACACAAATCAGGTTGTTTCATTCCCCATGTGAAAGGATTGCTGGAAATATAATGTAACAGCCACCCAAAAACTGAACAAGTACTAACAAGAATGGGCGGGTGGGCGGGAAGTCCGGACTGATCAACAGCTAGGCGAACACAGACACCTGTACGTGTCGCTACTGTCCCAAGCATACCTGTCTCACGTGCACTAGTAGCTGCACGTGCGAGACAAGACACGGACATCCCGTCCACTCGTTTACATAACAATGATAAATATATTTATATTCTAATTCGCTTCCCTCAAACGAACATAAATTATTTATCATATAAAACTCCAACTCTTTACCGGGAGTTCGTCCGCCTAGCAACGAGGACGTACATATTTATTCAGGTAAAATTACATGGAAATCGGAAAATGGATCCGTAATCCCAGTGCTGTGCGGGAATTGCTGGCCACTTCGTCTTGTCCTTCATGCTCCAAAATAGCTGTACACAAATCAGGTTGTTTCATTCNCGTTGTAACCTGTACCTGTATTCGACAGGGTTGGGATGGCGTCATGAATGCCCTTATGCATAAAAGATGCGCTGATGCATTTGTAAATTGTATTATAACTTATAAAACACCCTCAAAATAATCATTTGATTAATCATGGTTAGTTATATGTTAATCTTAAACAATATAAAAACTAACCGATCGACTGGGTTTCGAAGAATAACCAACAACTTCACTTCTGGCAGGATGTGGCGTAGGAAATTGGCTGTTACTATTCCCGGCTCCTCGTCGTTACGGTTTTCGGGGTAGCGCCACCACCAGGCGTTATCCCAAAAGGTCGACTGGCTTCCCTCACCTAAATATCGGTTTGCTTTCTTACTCTGTGTATTTGTTAGAATTGTCGAATGTCTAGTGAAAACTTTATTTTTCGTTAATTCAGTACATGTCGTCCTGATTTTTTATAGGATATTTGTTATATATATAGTGGCAATTCCATAATGAGGTAAACATTAAACCATATATATAGGACGTGCTGATTATGACGTCATTGCAATTGTGATGTCATTATCATAACATTGTACAGGTAAATTTCTGCTAGATACTGAATGTTTGCTATTCTGTTCGACTCAGAGCATGTAAATATATATTAACAAAAAGGGCGGGAAACCCTACCTGTTATGAGGGTGGATTTCTTGTCATCTCTAGAAAACTGCAGAGTGCCAGCACACTTAGAAAAACGATCTATATACTTCGTAAACGTTTTTTCTGAAAAAGAAGAAGGCCAAGACGAGGTAATTATATGTTAATATGAGCTTCTATAAACAGATATCATTGTTACGTATGACAGTTTTTGGTAACGTTTATACAGCGTCAAACAAAGCACTGTGTGGTTAAGTCGACAATTCATCGTGGACACTTGAAACTAAACACGATACTGTGTCTCGATACAAAACAACGAATAGAGAAAATACCCCCAAAAATGTCATAACACACACACTGTTACCATGGTAACATACTTTTCATTTTCCAGTTGTTCATGGACTCGTTACTACGGAGTACGGTGGAGGTCACACTAAAGGTCTGTCGTAACAACAACAAAGCTAACTCGGAGTAACGACATTTCGGAATAACTGCATTACTATCTCGGAATACTGGTAATTATCATATTACATAGTAAGGTTACAAGAGTTACGGCCCTTAGATGAGTTTTAGCTCTGCATCAAAACATATAAGGAGGTGCTCTGTTTGTATTAAATCAAAAATAGCAGAAAACCAAAGATTGAAAGCGAAACATGTCATTTATTTAAAGAATAAATGACGGCATAAAAAATCGTCTTTTTACTTATTGTACACACTTGTACAAATGTTTCTGTTACATACGATGAAACAAAATAATTAGAACCCATTTATACAAAGATGGGGATCAACTTGCGCTTCATTTATTTAATGTAATATTTAATATTTAACATATATGTCATGACGGCATAAAACAAAATATCATCAAATATTGTACAATTGTATCAATTTGAAATGGACAATAATTTTCTGTTAAATTTAATGAAAAGGAGAAAGGGGTTGGAGGTGGCTTGTGATAAACATCAGGATTAATAGCTGCCACTCAAACTGACAGCGCTTGCGTGTTGCATCGAAATATAATTGTCGATGTATGCCAGTACAAGTTACCTCCCTTGTCCTATCAGTAAAGCGAACTCAAACTGATCAGGGCTAACTCGTTTTTTATGAGACTTCTGGCAGGGTTATCTCATGTGTTAGAACAATTCATATCATATCTGTAAACCAAGGACATCTTTTCAGAATTACATAAACTGCAGAGTTTCCATGTTTGTGGTCCTACAACATTGGTAGCATGAGAGTGCGGATCACTAAACGGGAGGTTGCTCGTCAATATGATCTGTGTTTTATGTCTTCGTATGGAATAGAAACCCGTAAAAATTATGTTGCTATATTGTTATGAAAGATGTCATGCATTCGAAAATGTTAGGATTTCTGTTACTATCTTCAATTCCAAGCACGGGTCCGCCTATTTCCTAGGATGTACAGTGTACGTGTTTATATACAGTAGACGACGCACTAACTAATATATACCTACTTACGATTGCAACCAAAAGTAGAACAAAAGAATGGGGAAAAACAGTTTTCGGTGTGCACTGAGTCAGAAGACGCCAGAAGAATCCCATAACGAGCTTAACCGTATGGCCACAAGAGGCTAGATGGGTCGTGATTTTCCACTTTCGTTACATGTGATACCCATACAAGACTTAACGATCCCAATTCAACCTCTCACTCTTATGCAAATCATGTCTTTTCTCAAAATCTGTAAAAAAAACCAAAAAAAACCATTAAATGAACAAAAACAAGGCATAACACAACAGGAACTGATATGACACCAAGGCAAAACCAATCTTTACCCAGAGTTATCGTTCAGTATACTCACTGCACCTCTTAGTGAGAGTAAGGAACGACAACTCTGGGAAGAGACACGAGGGAAAATTGTAAATTCCCGCCAAACAACGGAGAGGAAACCGGTCGTTTCGGAATTGAACACCAAGATCTATATTGGAACTGACTGTTGTGCTACCTAATGTAGAATCAAATAGCAAAAAAACCCACCTAGTATGTAGCAAGATACAATTATAGTAAGTAACAAGATATCCTGTGTTTTAAAACATTATAACAAATAATTATAACGTTATTACACACATCATTAAATGAGTTATTTTGTTACTTACTCTAGTGTTACCTTGTTACTTACAAAAGGTACTATAGTGTTATCTTGTTACTTACTGTAGTTTTATCTTGTTACTTACTATAGTGTTATCCTGTTACTTACCTTAGTATTATCATTTTACTTACTGTAGTGTTATCCTGTTACTTACTGTAGTGTTATCCTGTTATCCTGTTACTTACTGTAATGTTATCTTGTTTATTACTGTAGTGTTATCCTGTTACTTAATTACTGCAGTGTCATCCTGTTACTTACTGTAGTGTTATCCTGTTACTTACTGTAGTGTTATCTTGTTACTTACCTTAGTATTATCATTTTACTTACTGTAGTGTTATCCTGTCACTTAATTACTGCAGTGTCATCCTGTTACTTACTGTAGTGTTATCCTGTTACTTACTGTAGTGTTATCTTGTTACTTACTGTAGTTTTATCTTGTTACTTACTGTAGTGTTATCCTGTTACTTACCTTAGTATTATCATTTTACTTACTGGAGTGTTATCCTGTTACTTACTGTAGTGTTATCTTGTTACTTACCTTAGTATTATCATTTTACTTACTGGAGTGTTATCCTGTTACTTACTGTAGTGTTATCCTGTTATCCTGTTATCCTGTTACTTACTGTAATATTATCTTGTTTATTACTGTAGTGTTATCCTGTTACCTGTAGTGTCATCCTGTTACTTACTGTAGTGTTAGCTTGTTACTTACCTTAGTATTATCATTTTACTTACTGTAGCGTTATCCTGTTACTTACTGTAGTGTTATCTTGTTACTTACCTTAGTATTATCATTTTACTTACTGTAGTGTTATCCTGTTACTTACTAAAGTGTTATCCTGTTATCCTGTTATCCTGTTACTTACTGTAGTGTTACCTTGTTACTAACTATGGTGTTATCTTGTTACGTATTGTAGTGTTATCTTGTTAATTACCTTAGTATTAACCTTTTACCTGCTGTAGTGTTATCCTGTCAGTTACTGTAGTGTTATCCTGTTACTTAATTACTGTAGTGGTATCCTGTTACTTACTGTAGTCTTATCTTGTTACTTATTGTAGTGTTATTATGTTACGATGTAGTGTTATCTTGTTACTTACCTTAGTACTATCATTTTACTTACTGTAGTTTTATATTGTTACTTACTGTATTGTTATCTTGTTACTTATTGTAGTGTTATTATGTTACGATGTAGTGTTATCTTGTTACTTACTGTAGTGTTATCCTGTTACGTATTGTAGTGTTATCTTGTTACTTACCTTAGTATTAACCTTTTACTTGCTGTAGTGTTATCCTGTTAGTTACTGTAGTGTTATCCTGTTATTTACTGCAGTGTTATCCTGTTATCCTGTTATCCTGTTACTTACTGTATTGTTATCTTGTTACTTATTGTAGTGTTATTATGTTACTTACTGTAATGTTATCTTGATATGTGTTATTATGTTACTTACTGTAATGTTATAGTGTTATTATGTTACTTACTGTAATGTTATCTTGATATGTAATTTAGTGTTATCTTGTTACTTATTGTAATGTTATGTCGTTACCTGCTGTAGTGTTATCTTGTTACTTACTGTAGTGTTATCTTGGTACTTACTGTAGTGCTATCTTTGTACTTATTGTAGTGCTATCCTGTTATCCTGTTACTTACTGTAATGTTATCGTGTTTATTACTGTAATTTTATCCTGTTACTTACTGTAGTGTCATCCTGTTACTTACTGTAGTGTTATTATGTTACTTACTGTAATGTTATATTGATACGTACTGTAGTGTTATCTTGTTACTTACTGTAATGTTATATTGATACTTACTATAGTGTTATCTTGTTACTTACTGTAGTGTTATCATGTTACTTACTATAGTGTTATGTCGTTATTTGCTGTAGTGTTATCTTGTTACTTACTGTAGTGTTATCTTGTTACTTACTGTAGTGCTATCTTTTTACTTATTGTAGTGTTATCTTGTTACTTACTGTAGTGTTATCTTGTCACTGATTGTAATGTTATCTTGTTACTTACTGTAGTGTTATCCTGTTACTTACTGTAGTGTTATCCTGTTACTTACTGTAGTGTTATCTTGTTACTTACTGTAATGTTATATTGTTTATTACTGTAATGTTATCTTGTTACTTACTGTAGTGTCATCCTGTTACTTACTGTAGTGTTATTATGTTACTTACTGTAATGTTATATTGTTACTTACTCTAGTGTTACCTTGTTACTTACTGTAGTGTTATCCTGTTACTTACTGTAGTGTTATCTTGTTATCCTGTTACTTACTGTAATGTTATCTTGTTTATTACTGTAGTGTTATCCTGTTACTTAATTACTGCAGTGTCATCCTGTTACTTACTTTAGTGTTATCCTGTTACTTACTGTAGTGTTATCTTGTTACTTACCTTAGTATTATCATTTTACTTACTGTAGTGTTATCCTGTTACTTAATTACTGCAGTGTCATCCTGTTACTTACTGTAGTGTTATCCTGTTACTTACTGTAGTGTTATCTTGTTACTTACCTTAGTATTATCATTTTACTTACTGTAGTGTTATCCTGTTACTTAATTACTGCAGTGTCATCCTGTTACTTACTGTAGTGTTATCCTGTTACTTACTGTAGTGTTATCTTGTTACTTACCTTAGTATTATCATTTTCTTACTGAAGTGTTATCCTGTTACCTACTGTAGTGTTATACTGTTATCCTGTTATCCTGTTATCCTGTTACTTACTGTAGTGTTATCTTGTTTATTACTGGAGTGTTATCCTGTTATCCTGTAATCCTGTTACTTACTGTAATTTAATCTTGTTTATTACTGTAGTGTTATCCTGTTACTTAATTACTGTAGTGGTATCCTGTTACTTACTGTAGTGTTTTCCTGTTACTTACAGTACTGTTATCTTGTTACTTACCTTAGTATTATCATTTTACTTACTGTAGTGTTATCCTGTTACTTAATGTAGTTTACTGTACTGTTATCTTGTTACTTACTGTAGTATTATCATTTTACTTACTGTAGTGTTATC